AAAGAATTATAGAGCCCAACCTAGGAGCATTAGTACCTGGGGCCTTAATTGAATGAAGATAAGCTAGTGGTCAGGTGAAAAAAATCAAGAAAGGGCAATCCTGGCAGAAAAGGCTGGATGACCAATAGCATAGAGGTAAGAAATGGGAGGTTGCAAGTACTTTTGTGTTGTTGGGCATAAAGGGTGAGGCTGGAGGGAGAAAATGAGGCAACAAAGGAAGTGGGAACCGGAAGATAATACAAACCCTGATAAGGAGGTTGAGAGTAATCTGATCAACTGGTGGTCTTTAAAGGAGCTCCAGGAAACAAAAGCAATGGTTGAAAGCTGCAGGTGTGTGGAAATACTTTGCATGGACAATCAACATGCTTAAAGTGGATTTGAATACATTACTCCAGTTTGTCACAGTCTTTCACATTCTCCATGGTCTTGTCTCTTGTCTCTCCTCTTCTTGTTCCTTCATTTCTCATATGTCCCCTGGTTACTCTTTTACTGACACTGAGGCCATCTGTGTTGTACTGTCCATTGGTGCCCCAAAGTGTCTCTCATCTAGTTTGTACTTAAATCCTTGTTGCTCAAACCCTTGATATATGAAGTATATCAAATGAAATTTAAAAATTTTGGAAAACAGTGACTACAAATCTCTTTTCAGGAGATTTACAATATGTATTTGTACATTAATGCTACTGCTAAGAACTGCATTGAACATAGAGCAACTAATGTGTTGCTTAACATAGTATTTTCCAAGCGGATCTGACCATGGGATCACCCCTTTTATTAAGTGAATGCCAACTAACATTTCAAATAGCCATTTCACAGTGTGGCCTGGGAATGTCTAAGAGTCTCTGAGATCCTCACAGGGTTCATATATGAAGTCAAAGGATTTCATAACAGTAAGGAATTATTTCCTTTCTCATTCTCATTCTTTTAAGAGGGTACAGGGGAGTGTTCCAGTGGTGGAGGATATGCAATATTATAACACATAAGTACATAAGTGGTAAGGAGAATCTACAAAGCCAAACATAAAAGGGTTTTAAAAAATGTAAAACAGTGTCACTTTTCTTTCTACTTAAAAAAATTTTTTAAAAAAAATAAACTACTATGTTAACATGCTAATAGGTTAAAAAATCTCTTATTTTGGCCCTACCAGCTGGCATGGCTCAGTGGTTGAGTGTCAACCTCTGAACTAGGAGGTCACAGTTTGAATCCTGGTCAGGGTACATGCCCAGGTTGCAGGCTCGATCCCCAGTGTGGAGCTGCAATAGGCAGCCAATCAATGTTTCTCTATCATCATCAATGTTTTTATCTCTCTCTCCCTCTTCCTTCCTCTCTGAAATCAATAAAAACATATTTTTAAAAATCTCTTAGTTTGGATTTCTAATATGCCAGGTATCTACAGATACAACTCATATAAAGAAAAACTCTTGGAGTCCTGAGGCCCAAGAGTTTGAACATTGTTGACCTAAAAGAATTACTAATAGTGGATAACTATTATTTTTGCCTGCCCAGCAGCACAGCATAAGCTCCTTATTTTTTTGATATATACACTTTAATTTTCTTTTGGGAATTACCTCGATTCAGATTGGGTTAACTCAATTGTCAGCTAAAGGCATTTGATTCAGGCCTATATCCAGCCATGTCTAAGTCTAGACCAAAGCCTACATTTTCAAATGCATGAACCATTATTGTCACTTGATTTAAAAAGAATTCTGTCTTAATACGCCAGGTTACTAGGAGATACAGTTTGATAAATGTTAATCTAATTACATGTTGTTTGTGGCTGAGTAGTGATAACTTGAATCTTCAGTTGTGTTCTTGGTCTTGGCATCACTCAATATGTATTAGTGATGACTTAATTATTTTATTTTGGTAACAAATTAACTGATTACCTGATATCTATATATATAAAAGCCTAAGCAATTGGTTGACCATTGAACCATTCAACTGTTTGACCAGTAGCAATGATGTGCACTGACCACCAGGGGGCCAACACTCAATGCACAGGCATGGAAACATGGAACAGACTGATGAGTCTCAGAGGGAAATGGGGTAGGGGGAAGGCAGGAATAGATTAATCAAAGATCTTAAATGCATACTAGATGCTCAGTGCACAGATCCCTCTGCATGGCCTTCGGGGATTTGGCTGAAACCAGCTCTCTGACATTCCCCAAGAAGTCTCGGATTGCTAGAGGGCACAGATCAGGCTGAGGGACCCCCTATCCCTTCCAAGTGCATGAATGCCGTGCACCAAGCCTCTAGTATAATAAGTGTAATAATGATTTCACAGTAAGACATATAAGTCCAACAAGGAGGATATATTAAACAAGTAATTACAAAACCTCAATCATCCTCATTTAAGATAGCCCCCTGGTCATTTTCTTCTTGGGTAGCTATTAGGTATTTGTTTTAATCATTATCTTCTCCCAAAATGCCTTCTCTAACTCTCCCAGGTTAGGCCCCATTATTATTTAAATGTTTTCATTGTTGTGGCACTTTGCCTTCAAAACAATTATTACCATTTTAGTTCATTATTTGTTACGGATTTGTTCAATATGTTTTTTTAAAAATATATTTTTATTGATTTTGTACAGAGAGGAAGGGAGAGAGATAGAGAGTTAGAAACATCGATGAGAGAGAGTCATCGATCAGCTGCCTCTTGCATACCCCCTACTGGGGATCTGCCCGCAATCAAGGTACATGCCCTTGACCGGAATCGAATCCGGGACCCTTCAGTTTTCAAGCCGACGCTCTATCCATTGAGCCAAACCGGTCCTGGCTGTTCAATATGTTTTTAAAGTGGAAGCCCTATGTTCTGTTTTGACCACCACATTGTTTCAAGGTCCAGCTGAGTGCTTGGTATATAGTAGGTTCCCACTAATGTATCTGTAGAGTGAATGAATGAATGCATGAGTGTCATGACAGAAGTTAAGGGTGCTGTGAAAGAGGGAGCCAGCCCAGGACTTCTGGAGAAGGGACATCTGAGCTGAGAGAGGAAGGACAGTAGGAGAATCAGCCCGAATCGGGAGATGGGAGAGAGGCATAGTACAGCCTGGAGTAGTGTTTGAAGCTGATGTATAAAACGAATCTTGGGCCAGATTGTGAAGGACCACTTGAAGTTTTTATTATTGAGCTTAGACTTAGAAGTCATTGAAAGGTTGGAAACAGGGAGATGATAGATTTTTTTTACTTTAAAAGGAAATCTTGATCAGTGTGTACAAAGTGGTTCAGGGGCAAACAAAATTGGCTATCATGGGACAAATTAGGTGATGTGATTAATTCAGGTAAGAAGCTGTGGCTTTGACTGGGGTAGTGGCAAAGGCTCTTGGATCCCTTCAATCATTTTTTTTTTTTACTCAACGTGTATTTACTGTGCACCTACTGTTATCAGACAATGGTCTAGGAAGTGGGGATATAGTGGTGAGTAATACAGATAAAGTCCTTGAAAATATTGGGATTACATATTAATTGGGGAGTGGAATGCTGACAAATGAGTATGTAAATAAATAGGCAAAAAGAGAGGTTCACTATCTTTGAAGGAGCAACAAGTAGACTAAAAGTGGAATTTCTGATCTAGGTGTCTTTTTAACTAATCTCATTATGCTTCCTCTATGTGTGCTGAGTTCTAGGTGCTCAGCAGAGGTCACCAGTTTTAATAACTCAGAGATGCGCCTTTTGTGGTAAATCTTACCTGTAGAAGGGCCCATTAGAGAACTATGCAGAAAGAGGACACAACATTAGAACACATTCATGAAAAGTGGAAACATCCGAAGTTTTTATAGGTTTCTAAATTGGCCAGAACCTCCCAGACTTCCTGCTGAAGATGTATCAGAATTTGTGAGCTATGTTCATATTTTCATTTTCTCACCAAGAGCACAATTCTAAATGCAGTAGAATCTTTTAAAAAGCCCTGGAAAGTTTTCTTTAGCAATGAAACTAACATTTAACTACACCACGAGCTTTGTGCAACATCCCTCTTTCCTGATGGACAGTTGGATGAGCCTTCCTGGGGTTGCCTACATGGGATGTAGACCATGCTTATCTTTAGGGTAGTGAGGGAAAGGACTGCCAACCAGGAGGGGTGGCACATGATGAACTCTGAAGGAATGTAATGTGTGATCCTATATATTATATGAAGCTACTGGGTCCTACCATTCTATCTTTTCCCTTTTCCTTTTGAAAATCAGAGTTGGTCCCTATAGGCTCTCTACTGCCACTTTCAAAACCCGCCTGCTAAAACCACTTTGAGGACTCAGAAACATGGATTTGAGGAGGGGGTGTTGGGGGTTGGGGGGTTGGGTTCTGTTTTCCTAAGTCCCCCCAAATATTAATTCAGAACCTAAATTTTGAACCATGATAGAGACTGCAGTCTCAGGATCCCCGAGGATGGTCCTTGCTGTGTATTTGGGGAGGGAGGAGTGTGAGGGGTGATTGGGAGGAGAAACAGACAGAAGGGCCTTCAATGGATCCCCAGGTCCTATAGGGGAAGCTGAGGTTCAGGGATGCAAATTACCTGGGGGTGGGGGTGGGCGTCCGACGTGACCTTTATCCTTAACTGAGACAGAGCCTCCGCATCTTCGCTGGCCCGTCGCTGGGAACTCCAAAAAGGCAGCTGAGGATAGACCGGCGGTGTCTGTAACCACTGCCACAACCCACAGTCTCCTCCTCGGAGGGCGGCGGGGGGAGGAGGCTTTCGAGTGAGAGAGTGAGAAAGAAGGGAGGCCGAGGGAAGGACGGGGAGCCAGGGGTGGGAGTGGAAGAGGCAGCCTCGCCCCGGGCTGATTGGCTCCCGGGGCCAGCCCCCTCCAAGCGCTTTATAAGAGTTGGGGCGTCGGGGCGGCCAGCCCGCTCGCCCGCGCGCCTGGAGCAGCGCCCGGCTCTGAGCGCTCCCGTCGAGGCCCGCCTGGCCCGCCGGCTCCGCGCCGCCCGTGGACTGGCCGCGGGCTCCCGGCGGCGAGGGGAGCAGCGAGCAGGAGGCGAGCGCCCGAGGGAGCGGGCGGAGCGCCATGCGCCGCGCCAGCCGAGACTACACCAAGTCCCTGCGCGGCCCCGAGGACATGGGCAGCGGCGGCGCCGGCGCCCCGCACGAGGGCCCCCTGCACGCCCCGCCGCCCGGGGCCCCCTCCCCGCACCCGCCCGCCGCCGCCTCCCGGGTCATGTTCGTGGCGCTCCTGGGGCTGGGGCTGGGCCAGGTGGTCTGCAGCGTCGCCCTGTTCCTCTACTTCCGAGCGCAGGTGAGTGCTCCCCTCCCCATCGGGCGCGCCCTCCCGGCTTCCCCCTCCCGCGCGGGTGGGAAACTGAGTCTGGACGGCGGGGCTCCTCAGCTCTTGCTCATTCAGCGGAGGGAAGTGACCGGAGACGGAGGGTCCGGGCGCGCTGGCACCGGGCTCCGCTCACCACCGGGTCTCGCCGCGCGCGGAGCCTGAGCTCGCCCGGCCTGGCGAGTTTGAATTTCCCCCCGCGAGACAGCATTGGTCGCTCACATCTTGTGCAAATTATTAGACTCTCCCTTCCTCCCATTTCTCACCGGGAGCTAAGAATGAATTGGTGCCCGGTTAGGGGGGGAAATGAGCGCCTTCTCTTAAGGATGGAGCCTTTCTTCCCTTGGCCGCCCACCAGAGGGTCCGTAGGGATGCGCAGCCGCTGGAGCCCCGGGTGGTGATGTCCAAGTTGCTAGAAAGGCCAAATGACAGTGCGACCTGAGAAACCTGGGCTCTGCTTACAGAAGAGGGAAGGACCAGGCGCCTTCCCACTGAGGTGAGAAGAGGAAGGAAGCAAGGTGTGTGTGTGAGACGGTGGGGAGGTTCTCTCCCCTGACATAGCCTCACTACAATCCAGCAAATAACCAACCGTTTGCAAAATGAGGAGGACAGCTTGGGACTGCAGCAATAGAAAGGAAGGAAGGGGTAAATTTGTAATATTATGCTTTCTGGTGGTTTATGCTCTTGTGTTTTCTTGGAAATTGCAGTGCAGTTGGTTGGATTCATTCAAAGAGTCTTGTCTGGTGCTGTGAACTCCTCAGAGGAAGTGGAGGGCTGACTGTGCATTTTTTTTTTTTTATGGGAAAAGAGAGTTGGATTTGAACTTCATCGGTTTTCAGATTCAAAGGTGATTACTAAACCCAGTGGGATGCATCAAAACATGGCAATGCCCGGGTTCTAAAGGTTTTTGACACGTGTCAGTCTTGAACTCCATTACTTGATATCGTAGATTTTTGTTAAGCTTTCATTACCCACTGGTTTGTGTATTGTAGAACTAGTTTGATTACCTACTAAAACAAAGGTAGAAATAATATGTGCAATACTTCAGAAAATTTGTATTTGTGTAGTAATAAAAATAATCTATTGCAAGATTTTTTTTCTAAAAACAACTTTGAGTGATTTACTTGCAACCCAAATCTATATGAAAATAAGGAAATGTTTTTCTTTCATTGTCGTATGCTGCAGTCAAGAAGGGGTAGTTTGCCCTAGCCGGTTTGGCTCAGTGGATAGAATATCAGCCTGTGGTCTGGGTTAGATTCCGGTCAAGGGCAGTCAGTACCTCAGTTGCAGCCCTGGTCGGGGAACATGCAGGAGGCAACCAATCAATGTGTTTCTTTCACATCGATATTTTCCCCTCTCTCTTCCACTCTCTAAAAATCAATGGAAAAATATCCTAAGGTGAGGATTAAAAACAAAAAAAAGAATGAGTGGTTTATTTATTTCCCCATCTAGCATGTTGTTTCCTCCCACCCCCATTGAATGATTGCGTGTTGAGTGCCTGCATTGCACATGGCACTATGAAGTACTCTGCAGTATGAGTTTAGAATCATTTATTCAACATACAGTGTCCACTGACTATGTGCATGGCATGGTGCCAGTAGTGGAGAAGCCTACAACAAAATCCTTAAAATTTCTAGTCAAACAAGAGGCTAGCATTCAGAAAAGGGCACGAAGATGCACTAGTTCTCCACCTGGTATCATCTCTGACGCCTGTGGTACAAGCATCTTCACTGCAGTAACAGTGAGGTGAGTGGTCAGCATTGGAAGAGCAGTTATAGGGACCAGGAGCAGCTTAGTTTGTCAGGAACCTTAGAAGTTGGGTAGCTACATGAGAAAGAGTGACCTGCTGGGCTCTTACTAAAGTTGTTCAACTCTTTGGTAGGATGTCTCAATATTGATGGTCTGGTATGATGAGGGGGATAGCCTTCTGATGATCACCTATCATAACTCAGCAGCCTTGATGTCACATGGATAATGGTGAAGCCCTTTTCCAAAGTAAACACATAAGTAAGCCTAGCTAGAAAGTTTTGATTTGGAGAATGTAACGTAATGATGTTTCTGGGTATGATTTTCCTAAATGGCACAGAAATTATTTTTCTCTAGGACTTATGCAAAATATATTAGCCATTTCTCTGAACCCAATTTTGCATTTTAAAAGGTCATCTCCTTCAGTAAAGAAATAATATTAGTAGCAACGTGTTCATAAGAATATACCACTAAGTCTGGTTGCATTTTATTGAGAATGATATCTATTGATAAGTTTGATATCTAGAGGATGCCTGATAATTTAGGGATAAACTTTGAAGTAATTACTAATGAAATGCTATGATATCTGGAGTTTGTTTCAGAATAATGGCCTCGAGTGTGGGGGAAGGGAAGTGGTTATTTAGAGAGGAAACAAGGTTGGCCATGCCTTGGCAATCTTTGTCGCTCATGATGGGTACGTGGGTGTTCAATCAACAATTTTCTACACTTTTATATCTGTTGGAGGTCTTTTTTAAAGTTCTAGCTAAGAGAATAGACTCATTTGACCTGTCACTGATTTAATGTTTTCACTTAATGTTAGCTCTTTGGATTAGAACTTGGTACCAAATAAGAGATAATTTGACTCACTAAAGTAGTGGATCAACTGCTTGGGGTTTGTGAATGCATTTGAATTAGAATGAAATCATCTGATGTCAAATAACATTGCACTTTACAGTAAAAAAAGAAAATCATGTGAGAAAAAGCATCCAATTTTATTGCTTTTATTTAAAGGGGGAGAGAAGAAGCAATACAAAAAAAGTTTACTTTTAAATGTATTTAGAAGAATGCTAAAAATACTGTAAAAATTACAGTGACGTAAGTTTTTTTTTTCTTCTTGCCCGGCTGGTGTGGCTCAGTGGTTGAAGGTCCACCGTGAATCAAGAAATTGCTGGTTTAGTTCCTGGCATATGCTTGGATTGTAGGCTCGATCCCCAGTAGGGGTGTGCAAGACACAGCTGATCGATGTTTGTATCTCTCTATCCTCCTTTCCTCCTCCTCTCTCTCAAATCAACAAAAACATATTTAAAACAATTAAAAAATCTTTCTTCTCAACTCATGTTTGAGTAATTAAAAATCTGCCAAAACCGGTTTGGCTCAATGGATAGAGTGTCGGCTTGGGGACTGAAGGGTCCGGGGTTCGATTCCAGTCAAGGGCATGTACCTTGGTTGCGGGCATATCCCCAGTAGGGGGTGTGCAAGAGGTAGCTGATCCATGACTCTCTCTCATCGATGTTTCTAACTCTGTATCTCCCTTCCTCTCTGTACAAAATCAATAAAATATATATAAAAAAATTAGTCAATCTTCTTAATGTTTGCAGATCACCAGTGTTTAAATGAAGAAAAACAGGCACTACTTTTGGTGTAGACTGGCTTTCTCCCCACCAACTTTGCCAAAGAAAAAATAGCATATGGCTTGTGCTACCTACTTACCACATAGTATTCATACTTTTGTTTTTAAAACAAAACAAAACACACCAACATAACACCTTCTAACAAGTTGCTTGTAAAATGTATGTGCACCTTTTAAAACACCTCTTCAACCATATTCAAAGTTTAGAGATAAGCTTTTCAGAAAATTCAATCTCGGTTGCCCTTTTAAGTCATTTCCCCAAACCCCCAATAGGCACACCAGCCTCTGGCTGTGTGCTACCCAAACAGGAGAGCAGTCCCTACTGAACTTCTGAGGTAGAAGTATGCACGCTGCCTGTTTGTAAAGACAGATAACGGAATAATACAAATGTCAAGCATCCTGCCTCATTTAACCCTTTAAATGATTAAATTTCAGGGAAGTTATTTATTTATTTATTTATTTATTTATTTATTTATTTATTTATATAATTGAGTTTATTTCATATGAACTACATTATCTGATAAATGCATTTTAAAAGTCCATTTTAAATCAGATAGTCAAGCTTTATTTAATCTTTTCAGTCATTTCTGGGTATAATGAATTCATTTGTAATTAAGTTTACTGTGATTTTTAAAAATTAATTTCTGTGTTTCTTTTGTTGACTTTAAGTTCCATGAAGTTCATCTGGCATGTTAAATTTACTGAAAAAGCTTTTCAAATTATTTGCACTAGAACTATATCCATTTCTAATTTGTGACTTATCTAATTAGTGACTACAATAGACTAAAAAGTACCGTTTTTAGTTATTCAAATTTTCTATCCAGACTGCTTTGTTAAGAGGTAGGTGGAGTAGGAGACACATTCTGAACCAGTGGTTCAAAACTGCATATTGAAACACTTGTGGATCACCTTAGGGATGTTGATTAAATTGGAAAGGGGATCTGGACATGGACATTTTTTATTACATATTTTTTTGCATTAAATTTCTCTGCATCAAATCATTAGCCATTGTTAAGTGCTGCAGCATTTTGGTACCAGTTAGTGTTATTTGTGAAAACCTTTTAAAATAGGTGTCCAGGGAAATTTGAAGTCACTTTAATAGCAGATGATCTGTATCTATAGATTTGACATTGAAAAGCATTAGTTTTCCAACTTTAATGTACATCAGAATCGGTGGGATCCAGTTAGAATGCAGATTTGCAGGCAGTGAGTGGAGGGTGGAGGGTGGGTGTGGGGAGGCTGTGATTCCACATTTCTAACAAGGTCCCCCTGAGCCCACCCCACAGCAGGTGTTTGGGCTATCCTTTCAGTTGTGAGATGCTAAGGGGCTGCTCTTGTTGTTAGATGATGCTTAGCTTGTTGGCAGGACTTGAGCTGAACCAATTTTAGGGTTACTGCCATTTCCCCACTGACACCACATTGTTCCTTCAGCTCAGCAGTTTTCTGGTGGTGAGCCTCCGGAGGCCCTTGCATGATTCTTCCTTCCTAAGTTCTGAACTCAGTGACCCTTCATATCAGTTGCCCAGGCTTCCCTGGTTTTGTGGGAAACTTACTGGCCCAAGTGAGCTTTTTAAAAACAAAACAAAACATGGGATTGAAAGAAAGCTTTCTTTATATAAAAACTCTTATTTATACAAATTATTTTGAAGAAAATATGAAAGTTAATATGGATTGCAAATAATTTTGCTTTATGAGTAAGGTGACCAGATCATCCCGCTTTTGGCGAGACAGTCCAGATTTCTAACAATTTCCTTACTGAGTGATACCTTTCCCACGATTATAGGTAATTCTCATATTTTGCAAGACTGGAATAATAACATTCACATTAGTGGATGCATACTTGTTGAAAGGCTATCATTTCATTTTAGGAATTTCAGATGTAGATAGGGTACTTTTCAGTTTATAGCTGATGACTCTTTAATAAATTCGAACATCTTTCTGATTACTTAAAAAAATAATTAAACCTGGGAATGGAGACTTGGTATTATTGGCCAAGTTGATTACTATAAACTAAGGCAATTTTTCTTTTTTTCTTTTCTTTTCATCTTACTTGTACCTACTTATAAGCAAATTCACAAGAAGCACCTTGAATTTTTAAAATAAAAGGACAACAAATTAAACTATTATTAAAACAATTGACAGCTAATTATCTTTACCCTTTACTTGGCAGTGGAAACCACTACAAAAGCTTGTCAGAGACCTGGAAGGAGTGGGCAGAGACTTTTAAGAAAAGAGCAATACTTAAATGCTTTTGCTGACCACCAGTTAGTAACTTGATGGGGATATATTGGGTGGGACAATCCCTTACATTATAAGAATTTTACCATCCCCTCAGTACATACCCACCCAGCCTGCTCAACCCCATGCAGCCATCCTCATTCGAAGTGGCACCAACACTCACCCACACACATTCCCAGGCACCCTGACAGCCCACACTCCAGGTTGAGAAGCACCGATAAGGGGTTCAACAAGAAGGAAAATTATGTTCCAGCTTTAGGTTTTCTTTGGACCTAGGAAATGGATTGCTCTCGCCCTTCTTTAGGTTATTAAAATATACATATTTTAAGAAATAGGCCAGGCAAACATGGTGGTTAAGGGAGTTGTTAATTTTATTTGATTTATGTAGTTTTTGTGCTTTCAAATTCTAAGTGGGCTCTATAATCCAGTCTAGCATGACGCATGTGACTTGACAAAAAAGCTTTCTCTACCTGCACTGACCACTTGCCAGATGATTTTGACAATTTCCATATGAATCACGTGTTGAGGATGATAGCTACTCATCAAAATGAATTGGAAGTTAATGTTTCACCTGAAACTTATGTAATTTTATTAAGCAATGTCACCCCACTAAATTCAATACAGATAACTTAAAAAACGTTTTTGCTAATTTGAACTATTAAGTATTGGGGCTACGAAGACTCTTGAAAAAATGATTTCTTTTTGTTCTTAAGTCACACTTTATTAAATAGCAGAATGGTTACCATTAAACACTCTCATGTGCTTACTTTTTTGTTTCTCAGATGGATCCCAATAGAATGTCAGAAGATGACACTCACTGCATTAATAGAATTTTCAAACTCCATGAAAACACAGATTTGCAAGACACAAGTCTGGAGAGTCAAGACACAAAATTGATACCTGATTCGTGTAAGAGAATTAAACAGGCCTTTCAAGCAGCTGTGGGAAAGGTGAGTCCACAATGAAGGTTTTAAGTCAAGGGCCCTTGTTGATTCTACTAATAATGAAATTAAAATTGGCTAAGTGCTATTGACTTTATTCTTTTTTATTTTAAGAATTTGTAAAAGAGCTAAAGAGAATTGTCCAAAGGGGTTAGCAGAATTGTTCTGAAGTTATTGTTGAATATGGTGACCAGAGATATTCATGTTCATGAAAAATTCCTTTTCTTATTTCCTTTCTTTCTTCCTCTTAAAATTTTTATTTAATTATTTAGAGAAGAGATTTATACTTACACTTGGAAGGAGGACAAAGATGGCTTGTGTTAATCAATGGGACAGTTTGCTAGTTTGAATTCCCTGCCTTAGAACATCCCCTCAATTCAAAGGACTTTCTCATAGCTATTTCCTCCATATTTAGTTTTGTAATGGTAGGATCTTCTATTCTACACTGTTGATCCAGAGCTCTGATGAGAATAATTGTAACTGGTCCATTGTTGTCATCTACTGTGAGGAGACAGGCAAGAAGACCAGGAAATGAGGTGATAGGTGAGATGCTCTGTGTCAGTTTTCTCATTTTCTGGGAGAGCTGGGTGAAAAGATAAGAAATAGGACAGAGAAGACCAGTGACTTCTATTATGCTGACAGCTCCAGATGAAAATCACTTGTATAACTGCTTGTTTTACTTTCCTGGATAAGGTCACTTGAGAATTCATCAGCCTTGGAATGACTTTACTTACTGACTCCAACAAAAACTGGGTAGAGCCCAGTGACTCCATTGCATGCACACCTGCATGGATTCTTGCATCTAACATTATATCCCAACCTCTAGTTGCATCCACCATTATATTCCAGCTTCTAGTTGCAACTTCCTGGGTTATCTTTAACCATCTTAGAGGAAATCCTCAAGTTCTCAAGTTTTTAAAATCTAAATTGAATTTGAATTCAGTTTATTTTTTTTAAAATTCATTTATAGCAATAGTATTTTTTTTTTCCCAAAAGAGGATTTATGTTAGAGCAGAGGTAGGGAGATGAAGCTGTTTGTATAATCCTTAAAGTTGATATTTGCTATCTTTTACCAAGTCTAAGAAAGATACCACCAATTTTCAACTGACTTTACTATTTCATGGATTACAAAGAAAGAAAGAAAAAGTTGACTAAGAAATGAAACATAATGTTCATAGATTCTAGTTACATCTTAATTTTAAATTACATATAAAATATAAAAAAGAGGTATCAGCTGAAACCGGTTTGGCCCAGTGGATAGAGCGTCGGCCTGCGGACTGAAAGGTCCCAGGTTTGATTCTGGTCAAGGGCATGTACCTTGGTTGCGGGCACATACCCAGTAGGGGGTGTGCAAGAGGCAGCTGATTGATGATTCTCCCTCGTCAATGTTTCTAACTCTCTTTCCCTCTCTCTTTCTCTCAGTAAAAAAAAATCAATAAAATATACTAAAAAAGGTGCATCATAGAATCAATAAAGTGCAGATTGCTCTTACAGTTATGAGAACATATCACTTATAAGTATTACATTTTCAGTATAATTAATGTGTAGGTGCTTAGATTTATTCAGTAGATGCATATTTTAAAATGTGGGTTGATATTCAATTTTCTTTACTTATAATTTTTGAGGTATAGCAACAGCTATTTTGCTAGTCTATTCATTTTTGTTGTTTTGTGCCATTTTCATTAGTCTGCTATACACACACACACACACACACACACACGCGCGCGCATATATATATATATATATATATATATATATATATATATATCTTATTGATTTTTTACAGAGAGGAAGGGAGAGAGATAGAGAGCTAGAAACGTCCATGAGAGAGAAACATCGACCAGCTGCCTCTTGCACACCCCCTATGGGGGATGTGCCCACAACCAACGTACATGCCCCTGACCGGAATCGAACCTGGGACCTTTCAGTCCGCAGACCGATGCTCCACCACTGAGCCAAACCAGTTTCGGCCATTAGTCTGCTTTTTATTCTGTTTCACAAATACTTAATAATCCTTCTACAACAATTATTTACATGTACTAGAAGTAATCAAACTGAACCCTTAATTAAGGTAATTCAGGCCAGGTAAATGATTGTTTTCTAATTTTTTGTTTAGGTTGACCCAGATTTTACATCCTTACAATGAAAGGAAACTTTTAATTTCATTGGGTCAGTCTTAAAAATTATCCGTTGTATTTCTTCTAGAAAAATAAATATGTATGATCAGCCTAAGTGATTTTGAAAATAAGTAACATTAAGAAGAACAGATACTATTAGTATTCGTTTGAGAATGCAAGAATGGTTCATCTTAACAGGTCAAAGGAGAAAAACATTATCATCTCATAAACACTAAGAAGTAATGGACACTTTTTCCCTCTTTTTATTTCTGATGTTTAAAATTCATTAGAAAATAAAACTAGATAGTTTAGTTCATGTTATCTGAAATTGCTCAAATTAAAAGTTAGCCAATGGTGAAAAACAGACGCATTTCTCTTAACACAGTGTTCCCATGTTTTTATGACTCAGACTATACTAGCTATGTAATTACACAACAGAATGAAATAAGAAAATATATAGATGTAGAGAAGGCAGAATTTGTGTTTTCATGTGATTGTATTCTTAGGAAGATTCAAAAGAAACTGAAAGGCTACAAGCAAAATAAAGTGGTTTATAAAAATTAATAAATAATCACCATTAGCTATCCCCATCTCAAACAATAATTAGAAAATAAAAATGAGTCTATTTATAACTTTTAAAAATCCCTAAAAATAAAACTAATAAGGAATGTACAAAGCTTATGGAAATAAAACTAGGTAAATCTACAGAAGCTTTCCCCACATGTTTTTATTTTAACTTTATTTAGAATTCCTGTCCAAATATTACCCTTCACTTACATATTTGTACTCTTCAATTCACAATGCTTGTTCTTTCTTTCTTTTCTTTTTTTTATTATCTAAAGTTTTACATATGTCTCCCTTTTCTCCAATTGATACTCCCCAGCCATTCCCACCCCAGGAAACCCCTACTGCCCCAGTGTCTGTGCCCATTGGTTATGTTAATATGCATGCATACAAGTCCTTTGGTTGCTCTCTAACCCACACTCCTCCCCTGCCATTTTTCTCTGGATCTATTCTTGTTCATCAAATTATGTTGATCATTATATCCCACATATGAGTGAGAACATGTAATAATTATCTTTCTCCAACTGGCTTATTTCACTTAGCAGAATGCTCTCCAGTTCCATCCATGCTGTTGCAAATGGGAAAAATTCCTTCTTCTTTTTTTTTTTTATAGCAGCATAGTATTCCATTGTGTAGATGTACCCAGTTTTTTAATCCACTCATCTGCTGATGGGCACTTAGGCTGTTTCCAAATCTTAGCTATTGTAAATTGTGCTGCTATGAAAATAGGTGTGCATATATTCTTTCTGATTGGTGTTTCTGGTTTCTTGGGGTATAGTCCTAAAAGTGGGATTACGGGGTCAGATGGAAGTTCTAAATAGACACTTTTTGAAAGAGGACATACAGAGACATATGAAAACATGCTCAAAATCACTAATCATCCAAGAGATGCAAATCAAAACAACAATGAGATACCACCTCACACCTGTCAGAATAGCTATCATCAAGAAATCAGCAAACAACAAGGGCTGGTGAGGATGTGGAGAAAAAGGAATCCTCGTGCACTCCTGGTGGATGCAGACTGGTGCAGCCCTGTGGAAGATAGTATGGAGATTCCTTAAAAAGTTAAAAATGGAACTCCTATCTGACCCAGTGATCCCACTTCTAGGACTATAAACCAAGAAACCAGAAACACCCATCAGAAAAGATATATGCACATCTGCAAAAATTTTTAAAATCAGATTGGTTAATGTAAAGATGTACTATGTAAAGTTATAATCCATGAAAAGACAATACCGACTTTAGGATGGAATTTATTATATGTGAGTACATAACTTTATCTATCTATCTATCTATCTATCTATCTATCTATCTATCTATCTATCTATCTATCTATCTAAACGCCTAAGTGACCATTATGACTGGACCACCAGCCAGTAGCTATGATGTGCACTGACCACCAGGGGCCAGATGCTCAATTAAGGATGAGCAATAATGGTAGAATATTTACTATGTTAGCAGTCTTTTGGAAACATGTTGCCTTATCCCAAATGAGTAATGTTAAGTATAAGCGATTCAGTACCTGGCAAGCCAGAAGGAGAAAGCTTTGTGGGCAGTCAGGATTAGCCAACTGCTCTTATTAAAGGCACATTGTCTTACTTATACTAATAGGTTAGTATAACTTGCAAGATGAGTAGAGCTTTATTTTATTAGTTTCACAGTTGTTTTTGCAGTGTTATGGGGGGAAAAGCCAAGAAAACCCACGTTACCTATTAACTGAAGGTAATAATATTACACAAGTAATACTTTTTTTTTTTTTTAATAATAGGGTTTTTTTTGTTTTTTTAAATATGTTTTATTGATTTTGTACAGAGAGGAAGGGAGATAGTTAGAAACATCGATGAGAGAGAGTCATTGATCAGCTGCCTCTTGCACATCCCCTACTGGGGATATGCCCGCAACCAAGGTACATGCCCTTGACCGGAATCGAACCCGGGACCCTTCAGTCCCCAAGCTGATGCTCTATCCATTGAGCCAAATCGGTTTCGGCTCAAGTAATACTTTTTAAAGAATAAGGATTTCATGATATATCAAAGTGTGTTTGGAGATAGGATATTTCTTCCCCCAGACAGAGGATCTTTAGGAAGGAGACAAGTGTTATCCATACCTTATCATTAGGACCAACCACTGTTTACTAAGTGCACACACTGTGCTAGGCACTTTGCCATAACTTCTCCTCTGCCTAATGGTTTACACTGCTTACCCTTGCCACATAATGATTTTCCACATGTGTTAGCCTTTGATAAGGATTATTGGTTAATGTGACATTCTACATACCTTGCCAAAACAATCAGATTTCCCATTTCTCTTGCCAATGTTGAAAATAGG